TATATATGAATATATAAAAAATATATCAAAATGCGTGTGGGTACTCAAATGAAAGCTCTTGATGAGTGTAACATCGGAATGAGCTTATATCTTCATAAATGTCAATATTTAAGAAAATACAGTGCAATTTAACAAAAATCATTCTTTAATAAAGCAAAATTTTATTTATTTATTTATAGATCTCATAGTGACTGTAAGGTTGCTAGTTTATAATTATTTTTATTTGTTTCAGGCGATCGGCATATGGTTTTCGGTTCATTTGGCGAGAGCGGTCAAATTAAATTACGAATCAGTTTAGAAGAATATAAATAAATCATAAACTGTAAAATAAAAAAAAATGTCAGCTCAAAGTAACAAATTCTCAACTTTAATCTTCTAATTTCTATTTATCAACTGAGAAGATATTATTTATGTTATTACTATTTATCTGTTTTTATTATTAATGTTTCCATTTATAATAAAATAAAGAAAACCCAATATATTCAAAGTTACTTAATTTATTTTGTTAAAAAAACGGGGTTGAAGCTTGTAATTTACGCTCTTTTGGAAAAAAATATCAATTTTTTATCATTCCATACTCTTTTATGACCCCTTTGAGCAAGCAATAGGGGAGATGTAAATCAGGAAGAGACTGAAATGCGTTGTTTATAAAAATAAATTACACACCTCGGTTCTTTTATAGCTTTGTAAGTATTACACAATTCAAATTATAATTGCAATTTTTTTTTTTGTTACTTATTAAATTTATAACTCTAATTAATGTTGCTGGCAACTCATATCTTATATGTATGTACACCTTCAATAAACATTTCAATTTTATAATATATTTAAATAAATTTTTCTTTTTTTAATTTATTATTTCTAGTGAAGAAAATTTTATGAGGATTGTAAATTATTTTATTAAATTTTATTTACAGCAAATAATAAAAAAAATTTATTCAGAAAAATTATAATTTATTATTTCACAAAATTAATGATACCTTTTTTAATTATTACATCTTACTAAATTTTATTATATATTATTTATTTATTTATTTATAAATAAATAAAATTAAATTATAAATAAAAATAAAATTAAAATTTTAAATTTAATATTAAATATTTTATTGTTAATAAAATAAAATATTAAATACAATTGACAAGTAAAAACTAGATAATTATTTTTTTTTTTTTTTAATAATAATAATAAAATAGTCAATAGATAAGCAATTGATTTTATTATCTTAATTAAATAAAAAACAGATAAGAAAAAAAAATAAAAAATTATTTTTATTAAAATTAAATTATAAAAAAATTTCACAAAAAATAATTTTAAATCCTTAAATTAAAAAAATATAAATATAAATATTTAAAGGAAAATTGTGTACAGTTACAAAGTGAGTATTTAAACAAATATATACATTTAATCGGCTACCTTGGTTGAAAAATACGTCATATCTTTCTGGGCGTTCGCTAGAACGCTTTCAAGTAAAGTCTCATTATCAGCAGATAGCAGACGGCGCACCTGATCGTTGTTTGTTCATATTTAAAAGTATTACAATTCAACATTTGTAATTGTCAGTTTGTATGAAAGCTTTAAAGTGAATTCTAATAGTGCAAAAAAAAACATTGAGTTGCACAAAGGTGTACAAGTTTTTGAAGAAACTTGTTTGACCAGCGACTTTTAATAGACATAAAAATTAACCAGACAGATAAAAATAATAAAAATGGCAGCAACTCACTTGGATATTGGTTTACGATGTATCAAATACCTGCTTTGTGCTGTTAACTCTCTCTTTGTGGTCTGTACTAAAGTATCTTATTTTTAGTACTTTATTTTAATTTCTTCTTTTTAAAATCAAAAATTTATAACGTCCACATTTTTAAATTATTTTTGGGATGTCCGTATTTGCCAACATCTGTAAAAATTTATTGAATTTAACTCTCACTTATTACATTTTTAAATAAATTATGCTCAGGAAGAAAAAAATTTATTAATTATCTAGATTAAATATAAGTAATGCAAAATTATATATTCTTCCCATTAATTTCGCTTCTGTGAATGAATATCAAAAAGTTTGAGAAGTATTTGCGCATTTGATTCATTTTAATCATTTACTATGATTCTTTTTATAGTTTGTTACAATTTAATGCTCTAATTGGCATAAACATTAATTAAGATAAAAGATAACGCTTGCTAAAAATAAAGATGAAAAATAATGAGTCATATATGGAGTTTTTTTACTAGATATAATTTGTTTTTGGTTTTATATTATATAAATAATCATACAAAAAAATTTTTTTAGTATAAAAATAGAAAATTATTAAGAAGAAATTTTGTTTATTTGATTTTTAATAACATTTTAATAACATTTTAAAGACAAATTTTTAGTAAATTATTGAAGATATACAAGAATATTAAAAAAAAATTTTTTTTCAGTTAAAATTAGAGTCAAGAATTTTTTGAGCTGATAAAAAAATTGTAAAATCAAAATTTAGAGCATTAAAAATTCAAAAATTTTTTTTTTAAATATTGCAATGTGTCATACATTAATAAGATTTGTTTTTGAGCTGATAAAAATTGTAAAATCAAAATTTTTAGTAAATTATTGAAGATTTAAAATTATTTTATAAATATTTCTTTCAGCTAAGACTTTAATAATAAATTTTTGTACTGATAAAAAAATTCTAAATATTGTAAAATTAAAATTTTGAGTAAATTATTGAAGATTTAAAATTATTTTATAAATTTTTCTTTCAGCTAAGACTTTAATAATAATTTTTTTTAAGCTGATAAAAAAATTGTATAAATTGTAAAATTAAAATTTTCAGCATAAAAAATCTAAAAAATTGTTTTTAAATATTGCAATATGTCATATATTAATAAAATTTTTATTTTGAGCTGATAAAAATTCTAAAATCAGAATTTTGAGTAAATTATTAAAGATATAAAATTGTCTTCCAGCTAAATTTTTAATACTAAAATACAATTTTTTTAAACTGATAAAAAAATTGTATAAATTGTAAAATCAAAATTTTGAGAATAAAAAATCTAAAAAATTGTTTTTAACTATTACAATATGTTATACATTAATAAAATTTTTTTTTTGAGCTTATAAAAATTCTAAAATCGAAAATTTGAGTAAATTATTGCAGATATTTTTATATCTTCAATAATTCTAAAATTATTTAATAAAATTTTCTTCCAGCTAAATTTTTAATACCAAAAAATTTTTTTGAGCTGATAAAAAAATAAAAAAAATTGTAAAATTAAAATTTAGAGGATTAAAAATCCAAAAAATTCTTTTTAAATATTGCAATATGTCATACATTAATAAAAATAACTGTTGTACACCTGACTAGATACTAGCTCACTCCGCGTACTTTATATTTCGTATTTCACAAGTAATAGGGTGGTTACAAATGTCTCCCCTTGTACTTGTATTTCCGAGAAAATGATTATTCACCACATCAATAAAAATATGTAGTTATTATTTCACATACAAAATTTTACATATGTCCACAGAAATATTATCAAATGTATAAATACAAACGTGTAAATCAATAAAATGTATGAATAAATTGAGAGAGAGCTTTGATATTGATTGAAGTAAATTTTAGATTGTTCAGTAGACAGCAGAAGAAATAAAAACTAAAATTTAATTTTTTATTTCTTCACATTAAATAGCATAATTGATGGGCAGGTTCATGATGAAATAGTCGTCAGCATTGTCAATAATATATAGCACACGCAACCGGTCACACGGTCAATATGACGAGTTTCATATTATATGTGCAATGGCGTAAATTTACAATGGAAGTTTATTGCAGCTCGTCAGTACATGACAAATGGATCGATAAATATAAAATTCAACACAATGACTTTGGAATAAAAAATTACAAACACACATTGAAGAAAAACATTTGTGTTTTTATCTTATCTTTAAAACTTAACGTTCACTTCCCGTATAGAGAGATAAACAATAAAAATTATAATACTGCGACTGTGTTTAGGATTTTTTTATAATCTATTATTATAAAATAGAGAAGAATATTAATTTACAGTCATATAAAAATTATCATTCATGATTAATGATTCATCTGCTAATTTTACGCTTAAAAATTCTATAAGGAAAATCATTTTGAAGAATTTTATTATCTTCATTTAAGTAGAAAAATTATTTAACTAATAAATTTTTCCTCAAGAAATTTTTTTAAGAATTTTTCGCAGTAAAATTATAAAATTAAATTTTAAAAGAATTTTTTGTAGTAAAATTGTAAAATTAAATTTTAAAAGAATTTTTTGCAGTAAAATTGTAAAATTAAATTTAAAAAAAATTTTTTGCAGTAAAATTATAATTTTAAAAGAATTTTTTATAGTAAAATTGTAAAATTATAATTTTTTACATGTATGTTAAATTTTACAGCTTACAGGTGTGATGATAATTTCCGTGGGTATGACGATATACACAGTCTATGATGATTTCAGGAATTTTTTAGATCCCAGATATTCTTCTCCAGCAATGATTCTAATCTTTGTAGGAGGTTTGATTTTTGTTATTGCTTTCTTCGGTTGCTATGGAGCAATTAGAGAGAGTACATGTATGGTTTTAACCGTAAGAAATTTTTATTTTACTTTTTAGACATTTCTTCCTTTTATAATTTTAATTATAATTTATTAAAATAATGCTTTTAATTATTTTTGAACTAAATAAAAATTTTCAATACTAAAATTTTCTTTTACATGAAATTTTTAGTCTCAGTAAAATTCAGCATGATTTTATTTGTAATATTTAAAAAAATATTTTATCTAATTTTATTTTTTACTTTAAAGTAGACAATATATCTCTCTATAAATTTAAATTACTTGGTTATTTTTTATTAAGTAGATTAAAGCCTAATATAACTTTATTAAGTCACAATAATTTCAATTTAAATCTATTAACGTCAGTGTAAATTAATATTTCTATATATGGATAGTCTTTTTAGTTATATTATTCTGTCTTTAGTGCTTAAAAAATTATTTCTAGACCTAGTTTATTTTTCAAAAAAAAATCCAAATCATTTTTGTCTGCTAATTTTAATGTTATTTAATAATAATAATAAAGTTAGCTGAAGTTTTTATTTATTTTTTTTTTATTTATTAAATTAGAACTAAAAAATATTTTTAAAAATTGTATTTGTAGCTTTTCAAATTTTTCTAACAATTAAAAATTCTTTTTTAATAATTTTTTCAATGAAAAAAAAAGATTATAAAAATTTTCAGACGTCAGTTAACTTAATTTTCATTGTTTAATATTAAATTTTTTAAAAATAAATCTAACAATTTTAATTATTAGTTTGCAGTTTCATTATCAGTCGTCCTGGTTCTTGAAATTTCGGCAGCAATTGCAGCATATGCTCTTCGAGGTAGCATAAAAAGCTTATTAGCAGAGAATATTAATTTACAAATGCAATTGTATAAAACATCCGATGAAGCAGCGGCTGCTATTGATTTTCTGCAATCACGAGTTAGTAAATTTATATTTTTTTAATCACTCTATCAAATAAATTTTATTAAAATAAAAAATGTCAATATCTAGTTGCAATGTTGCGGAAATTACGATAAATCTGATTGGGAAGAAATAAATTTAATGGACAGCAGAGCCAGTGTTTATCCGGACTCATGTTTCTCGTGGATATCAAGCATCTACAATCCGAGATTCAACAATGTTCTGTATGAAGATGGTTGCATTCAGCGTCTTTCAATGATTATCAATCAGAGCGCAATTAGTCTCGGCACTGGAGCGTTTGCAATCGTTCTTATCCAAGTAAGTCCAAAAATTAATTTTTAAATCAAATATTTTTTTTTCAATGATTTAATTTTATATTTGCAGTTTACGGGAGTGATGTTTGCTTGCACTCTGGGACGCGCAATTAGGAGACAAAAAACAGAGAGGGAGAGACGTCGTTGGGAACTGAGGGAAAAATTGATAAACGGTTATCAGCCTTTGGGAAAAGTTGATTCCTTTGTTGCATCTCCAGTTATTGACTTGCAGGCGGAACCAGTTAAATATGCCGAGAGCTAAATTGCAATTTAATAATAATATATTTTTAAAAATTATTTTAAAAGTGATATAATTAAAATAATGTAAATAATAAAAATTATTGCGAATATTTATATTGCAAATTAATAATATATACAATTTATAAAATTATTAAATATAATAATTTCAGAAATATTTAAGTATAATTATCAGTTTACTTTGAACGTCGCTTAAAAATAAAACATAAATTTAAATTACGATTTTAAACACTTAGTGCGACATTATAAATAAATAATTTAAGGTTCCATGATTTTTGATCCTCCGACAAAATATCTTAAATAATTAAATTTTTTAATAAAATAATTACAAGCTTGTTACCGTGTTGTGTTACTTTTATCATCGTTTTTGTGTGACATTTAATCTAAGGATATTTTGTCAGAGGATCAAAACGCCTGATACCATAATTTAATACTAAAGTTAAATTTTAATTAAAAAAATGTAAATTTTTATCATCATGATTATTTTTGAAAAAATCTTTTTTAAATATATAACAATAATTATTAATTGATTAGTTAATTTAATTACGACTATTTTATCGCTTTTAAGAATTAAATTATTTTTTAATTACCTACAATTGAAAACATAAGTGCAATTTAATTGATAAAATAATAAATAAAATTTTTAAATCTATTCTAAGTATTTAAAATATACTTGTTAATAGAAAAAAAAATTTTCAATTGATTTTATAATGTACAAATTTATATATCGATGGTCTAATTAGCAATTGGTCTCTCTTTATTTTTTAGAGGGTAATTTTTTAATATTTTCATGTAGCAATAGTTTAATTATAAATTATTTGAATGGTCTAAACTAAAATATTATACCTCTATTAGATATTAAATTATTTTTTAAAATGATAATAAATTTTTAACTAATTGTTTTTTCGTACAAATGGATAATTTGCTAATTAAGACGTCGATATTCATGTCAATTATTTTAAAAAATTATCTTGTTAATTATAAGAGTCAAGAAATTTAAATATTTAAAAAAAAAAAAAAAAAAAATAAATTTCAACAATAAAATTTAATAAATACTAAAATAAGTCACCAAAAATTTTGAGCTTTTTTTAAAATCTCTTCTGACTTATTACTATATTGACCGAGTGGAAGATAAGGTGGTGTAAATTCTCGGTAAGCGATACATACTCTACGACTAGTAACATCTTCCCGCAAAACTGCATGGTCCCAATTATATCTTGCATCGCCATATAAAACCATCAGCGACCTAGCAGGCATTGGCAGTCTAATTACAACATCTTCCGGCGCTTTTTCTAAATCATCTTCACTGCAATCGCTCTGAGGGACTACTGGGGGATAAGTAGAAACACAGTCGAGGTTATAACGTGTATTAGACCCTTGATAACGAGTCATAGTTAATACAGAGTCTCCAATTACGTTTACTGTAACTATTCTCTCTCCCCAAATCCAACAGTCGTCAATGTGAGGGTCAATAGAAGCTCCACGCTCTGGAGTGTATTCTAAACTGCACTGTTCTATAGTTCTGAAGCCTTGTAATAATGGCACTTGGGATAATTTTTTTTGTACGAATTCTGTATTGATTGGAAACCCATTAAAAATACCCAGGCATAGTTTTCGTTTTTTAAAATTACATTTGGGTCCGTAGTTTTGTTTTCTTCTTCCACTTTGCGATATGTCCCAAGGTAAAGAGTCAAGATCTTGTATCAGGGTTTTTGTTTCTCGTTCGTCTAAAAAATTTTGCTGGAACAATATAAATTTTTTAATTTTTATTTATTAATATTTATTCAATTAATATTAATTTTAATGAATTAAGTAGAGACTGCTTTTAATTATAAAAATTAATATGACACTTAAATCAGCAGACATTTTTAATTTTTTTATTTTTCTTTAAAAATGAATTAAGTACAGAAAATTATTTTTAAAAAATTGCATTTATATTTTTTTAAATCTTCCAAAGATGGAATTTTTAAATAAATTTTCCTTACTAAGATTTAATATTTTTTTTTTTTTCTAATTCTAAAAATTATCACTTGTTTCTCAATTTCAGTGTCATTAATTAATTTATAATACTAAAATTAGCAAATAAAAATTATAAGTTAAAAAAAATATTTTAAAAAAATTGCATTTAGAATTTTTCAAATTTATTATGTCAAATTTTTTCAATAAAAAAATTTAAAAAATTTTTAGATGGCTAACTTAATTTATGAGAGTCAATTTAGTAGATAATTAATAATTTTTTCAACAAATAAATATGGCAAAAAAAAATGACATGTAGAAACTTTAAAAAATTATAAATGTAATTTTTTAAAAAAAATTTTTTTGAAGCAAATTTATTTATTAAAAAAAAAATAAAAAAATTATCAAATGACAGCTGACTTTAATGTCATAATTGATTAAAATAAAATTTACCTGAATGTAAACTCCAGAATAAGTGATAGGACTTCCAATATGGTTCGGATGTTGTTTATATAAATTAATGTCCCATCCGGGCCAAGCTTTATCACACTCAGGACAATAAACGTAGCTTGGTAATTTCTGTTATAAAAAAAAATTAGATTATTAATTTTTATATTAACAATAATAATAAAAACACGAATGTAAATTATTAAAATTAACTTACTTGCAGCTCTTTATATGTGTTGGGTTTAATAATGTTGTACTCGTGTTCGCAAATTAAACATGTCCTTATACCTTTACATCCACAAGCTCTTACAGTTTCCATTATTATTATTTTTTTTAAACAATATTTTACAAGTCCATATAAAAAGTAAATATTAATTTTGAAATTGTAAACATGTGTATATCGCATGTCATAAATCCTGACTAACCACTAAGAGGAGTTACAGCGCCTCTGGCGGGCAAAATTTTTGTTATCATTCTAGTTCAATTGTCACCTACAAAATATCATAATAATAATAATAATAATAATAATAATAATAATAATAATAATAATAATAATAATAATAATAATAATAATAATAATAATGTAATGTGATTTATTGAGTGGCCGTGGGACTCAGTCCCTTGACAGCCAAAAGATACAAAGTAATATACAAAGTGTGTGCATTAATATACATCAAAGTAATAAATCAGTAAAAATATGAAAAAAGAAAATATGCAAGAAGTAATGTTTTAGTATTAGGTCTCTCATCATCAGTAAAACGATCTCGATTTTAATATAGTACTAATAAATTCTATATAGAAATGAAAGAAAAAAGAAGTATGTAATGCATGACAATATCACAACGGTAGATCAAAAGAGCATTTCACAGCACAGTCAGCAAGTCCATATTCGTAAGCCTAAATTCCCATGACTTCAGCCTTTTCAATTTGCAGCAGATGATTATAACAGCCGCTTTTAAACTCACCCAGGGTTGCAGCAGTTGAGATAGCAGGCGGCAGAGAGTTCCAGAAAGACACTCCAAGCACCAGAAAAGAATTTTTGTACATAATAATAATAATAATAATATTTGAGGGCCAATAAATTATTTTAAGAAATAATAAAAAAAATATAATTAAACAAAAAAAAAAATGGATGTTATTTTAAGATTTTTTTCTAGTTAAAATTTTTACAAAAGCTTAGAATTAATTAATAAGACAAAATTGAGTAGAGTTACTGGAAATTCTTTGTTTAAGCTGCATATAATGCGTTAAAGTGGGAAGAAGATAGTACAAATAACAACAATATTAATAATTTTAATATCAATGCTAAAGTATATATAGTATTAAAGACTATATTTTAAAAATTTCATATAATACTATATACATGTCTTTACAAGGTACAAGGTCTAATACCCGACCTTCGTTTCACAACAATGTGTTTCTTTGAACTATTTAATTTGATCGTTTGTTTACATTCATGTATATTTGTGTGTAAGATTACATATAGATGTAAGTGATAAGAAAGAGGTACACATTTTCTGCATAACTTTTGTCCTTGTGTGTTCTGTCTTCATGTAAAAATTCCGAAGAAAATTATTAACCAATATAGGATTGATGCTCTAAGAAGAGTGTTACAAGAATGTAATTGGCTGAAAGAAACAAATCGAAAACTCAGCTAGCTTGTACGCGCTCGACTTTCGTTAGTCACTTAGTCCTTATATTAGACAGCAGATTGACTTGAACTGTTCACTAAGTTTACTCAGGACTATGGAGACTATGGGCCGTATTCACGAGCTACACTCTCCCCAACTCTCCCGAGGAAACAACTTGTTGCAATTTGTGTTATAATAAAAAAAAGTTTCGATATAACGGAACAACAAAACAATCTGAAGTTTAAAAGTAAGTTGATAACGGTGAATTGTGATTTTAAATATTTTAATTTAACTAATTTTAATTGTATTTTTTTTTTTTTTTAGTCAATCTGCGTTTAGGTCATTGTGATGAGTGCGTTGCTACAAAAAATCATTTTATGTCATTGGCAGACCAAATTGACGAACAAGTGAAACGGTATAATGCTTATAATACGAGATTTGATAGTAACGCGACAGTATTTGACGCCAAAGACTTCTTATTAATCATGAATATAAAAGTTGGATTAAATGAATTTAAATTGGGACCTGTCAAGTTAGGAGAACAGTGCAAAGAATCTATGGACAAGGACTATCGTTGCATGGTACAGCTTTGGACACATGTTTATGAATTTATGAAGGTTTGATTTTTATTATATGTATAAGTATAAGTATGTATGAGTAAGTGGGTTTTGCCCACATTCTCATGTAGGATAAGTGTGGATATTACCGCGACTTGATGTGTACGGGTATTTAATTGAATTTTTTTAAATAAAAAATTTCTAAATTTATGAAATGTCGGCTAACTTTATTTTAATATTTATTTGATATTTGTGACTTAGGGAAAAGTGATATTGCTGTATTTTCTTTATTAATAATATATTTAAAATTTTTTAAAGGTTTGCAACAAGAAATTTGCAGATAGTACGATGCGGCTTATTTGGAATTCGAGGATTTGAAAATTAAAAAGAAATCACTCGAAGAAGAAGCTAACCAAGCTGTCACGGAAGGCATGGACTTGAATTACAAACCTGAATTTATCCTAAAAACATTTATGGATGGGGATTATAGACGTGCAGAAGAAAAAGAGCAAAACACCAAGAAAAAAATATGGTACATTAGCCATTAATTGCATTTTGAATAAAGTATTGTTATTAATTAAACTAATAAACTAAAAATCACATCTTTAATTCTACACAACACTAGCATAATCGCCTCCCATACCGATTTACATATTCTGCTTTTATTAATAATTTTATTATTATAACTATAAAAATTAAAACTTATGCCTGCGCTACATTCATCAAGAGCTTTCATTTGAGTACCCACATGCATTTTGATATATTTTTCATATATACATATATATATATATTATATATGGGTGATTCTCTGTAAGGATGTTTTTTGCCCGTCCGGGCATTTTTTTATTAGAAAAATTGTTATTTTTCAACTAAAAAAAATTTATTACGAAAGTAAAAAAACATTTCTATTTAGAGCGTTAAAAATTAAAATGAAATAAATTTTGGTTTTTTTGCTATAAATTCGTAAACCACCGAAATGTCAGTCCCCTGGGCTGTCCCAGTCCCAAAATTAAAACTAAGATTAAATTTTAAGTTATTCGTAAATAATATATAATTTAGTCCATAATGTTTATAAACTTAATTAGTTAACTAACAATCTTCTTCAATAAAAAGTACCGAAAGTTAATTTGTTTCATTAAATTCATTAAACCAAAGTTTGTCCCAAGCATTTGAGATCAGTCCCCTGCCAGAAGTTTAAAGCCAAAAAAAAAAAAGTCTAGCTTGTTATTTTACCTTTTGTAAGGTTTAAAAGGATCTAACTAGCCTTAAGTTAATAACCATAGGGCTGTTAGCGCTTTATCGGCATTTTATTTAGTATCAAAGCACCGTTTGTGCTGGAAATATGTGTCTGGGCCACTTCAAAACTCAGTCCCCTGGCAGCTATTTTTGTTTATAATTTATTTATAAAATTGGATCCATAAGTCTTAATGTTATTCTAATTAATGTAAACATTCATTGAGAACTTAAAAAGTTGAATGCATTGAAATAGTTTGCTTCATTTTTCTCAATTTGATAAAAAAAAATCAGTCCCCTGTCATGTTACGCATGCTAAATTATATAAACAGATAATATTATCTATGTAGAGTTCAAGATCGCTTAGGAGTAGAACAAGATGATGTATTTGGCTGTTTTAAGGATATTTTGGATGCTTATGCAAAGGATATTTTGCGTGCTTATGCAAAGGATAATTTGACAAAAGAACGAACCGTGAAAAAAAGAAAAAAGGCTACGTGTAAAGCCCGAGAAAAACAATTGGAGCCGCATGTGGCAACAACACTTGGACGGGGGGCTGCGAACTAAGAAAGAAGAATTGGAACCCTGCTAGTTTTACCAAAAAAACACAAATTTCTGAAAAGGAGATTCAACAAGTAGTAAAACTAGGCCAGGCATCCGAAATAGGGCTCCTGCAATAACGGACAGAGTTAATATTTTTAATATTTATATTAATAGTATAGGCTAATACCTAATATTTTAATATTAAAAAAATATCAAGCGGATTTGTATCTTTAGTTTGTAAGGAAATATGTTTATAATTTATAATACTTATAAATATTTGAAAATAACGTTAATGTTAATGTTATTGTTGACTATTATGTATATATTTATTTTTCTACATGAAAATCTATTTTATGTTATTTATATAATGTTCCCAATGCAACATTAAACTGTGTACCCCCTAGCCAAAAACATATTTGTAAGTGTTTAATGCACTAAACTAATAATAAAAAATAAGAAAATATATATTTTTTTTAAAAGTACATAAATAAATTTTCAATAACTAAATTGTTAAGTATTAATAAAAAAATTGTTAGATGTTGAAAAAAATGAAAAGATTGTAAAATTTATAAAAACTATCTTCTCATAAAAATTTATCATCAATAAATATATAATTATGCAAGAAATTAAATTATCTTAAGGTCAAGTAAACAAATCATTATGTATGATGGATTTAATAAATTTTTATACCAGTTACAGTAATATACGCGTGTAATTAATTTTTATATACCATTAATAAGTAAGTAAAGTGTAATATAAAATTATTTTCTGGAGCACATAATTAAAAACTTTTTGTTTTTTCTTTAAAAACTAATTGTTAAATTTTTGTGATTTAAAGGAAGATGAATACTTCAAGTTTCATATTTTATAGAATAATTTCTTTGTATTTATTCTTGTTATTCATCAAATTCAGTATGTATAATAATAATAATAATAATAATAATAATAATAATAATAATAATCAGTGTAAAAATAAAATGTTTAAAATTTTAGGTAAAGGAGATGATAAATGTCCAAATATTATTTCAAGATCGCAATGGCAAGCCAGAGAAGCGAAGAGTTCTAATTTTATTATTAATCCTATTGCTTACATTGTAATTCATCATACTGTAACTCCACAATGTCTAACTCGAGAGTCTTGTTCGAGTCGTGTGAAGAATATACAGGATTATCACATGGATGAATTGTTATGGGCTGATATAGGATTTTCGTAAATTTTTTTTTTCATAATTCCAAAATAAAAAATTATTTATTTTATTTAAAAAATTGTCAATTGATATTAAATAGATTTTTCATTGGAGGAGATGGAAATGTATATGAAGGAGTTGGTTGGAGTAAAGAAGGAGCTCATACATACAAATGGAACAAAAAGGCAATAGGAATAGCTTTTATCGGATCTTATCAAAGTTTGTTTCAAATTACAATAATGACTCTTACTTACGGTGTATAAATGAAATATTTAAAAAAATTATTTCAGCGGTAAACGCAAGTGAGAAGATGATACAATCAGCGGTTAAGTTGATTTCTTGCGGCAAACATGAGGGTATGTTGAGACCTAATGTTAAAATAATAGGAGCTAATCAAGTGACCAGTACAGCAAGCCCTGGAGCTAAATTATACGAGCAGATCAAGAGCTGGCCAGAATGGGCGGCGGATCCTTGAGAAAATAATTCTTTTTTTCTTAAAATTTATTTAATAATAAAATCTATATTATTAAAAGAATAAGCAAAATTTTATTGTAATTATGTAGGCTGCATTCGTAAATACTCTATTTCTAGATACATAATTAAGAAATTACCTTGTATCTCGTGAACTATTGACATTTTTGAAGATATAAGCTCATCCCGATGTTACACTCATCAAGAGCTTTCATTTGAGTACCTACTTGCATTTTTGATATATTTTCAATATATACATATATATAATATATATAAATATATGAAAAATTAATGTGGGTACTCAAACAAAAGGTTCTGAGTCTATTAGTAAATATCCTTCACTGTCGCCCTGGCCCGTTGAGTCTAAACTAGAGAACCCTGAACCCATCTGAGGCTTAAATGGTCCACAGCTCATTTTTGGACCGGTCGTGCCTGAGGACAATGTTGAGATGACAAAAAAAAATTTTTTTATGCGCCCTTTTAGCATGTACTAGAATTTAAATTTACGCGCGCAAGCGCGCGCCTTGACTATAGAGTTTGCATATATTTTCATGCTTATGATATATTTGACCAATCACGTTACGAATAGTTTGATGCCACATACATTTCATCTCAATTTTATATTAGGACTAGAATTTAATTTTCGCGCGCAAGCGCGCGCCTCATATTTATTATCATAGATAGATAGATAGATAGATATATTTTATTTGTCCTTAGAGCCGAAGCTCCCTCAAGGCCATCAATAAGCAATACATTTTTATACATATACAAGTATACAGTATTAAAATACAATTACAATCCCTGATAGCCAGCGCTTTCTCAGTAAGTGTTGATTTCCAACAGTTACGGTTAATTTATCCATCAAGTTGGCGGTAATTCTTCACTCAACAACAGTTGTAAGCAAATTGACGGAAATCTACGGTCGCAACTTGAATACAAGTTAACAATCAAACTTGTAGTTAAATTTCCTTTCAACTTTACTACAATTTGACGGAAATACTTGTACAGCAAGTTTTGACGTCTATTTGCAGAGTAAGTTATAGGTAACTAATAGGTAATCGCTCGCTTTGCCAACTCTTACCGACAAGTTTGCTTCAAATTGCGAACGTAGATTGACAGTAAGTTATAGGTAAGGTGACTTTCAGGTAAGGTGGCTATCAGGGGATCTATTAAAAAAAAATCTGGAATCGGTTGACCGCGCAGGCCAACCCTAGAACTTTCCGCTAAGTTTAAATTCGAAGCGCCTTAAAATGCGTTTTTTGGTTAATATTTGAGCTCGAAGAGCTCAAAATATATTTATTAAACAACTATAACTTTTGAATGCATCGTTAAATTTTCATTTTTAAAAAAGCATATCACGCAGTGTTCAAAGCACAAAAAGAAAACTTATATAAGTTTATATTGATTGGTTGAGAAATCTCGAAGATATCTTAAAAAAATACCGAAAAACAAAATTTTGTGAATTTTTGAACGCAACTAAGGTAAAAGACCCCATTAGTGGCACCTTTAACCCCCATTAGTGGCACTTTTTCTTTCAATGAAAAAATGTTCTACTTGGAATAAAAATGAAAAATTTTTTTGATGTAAAGGTCTTAAAGATTAGAAATAATATATTCATTATTGAAATTAATGATTTAATTAATTGAATAAGTACCAAAATCAAAGAAAGTGTCAGTAATGGGGTCTCCGCCACTAATGGGGTCTTTTACCATATAACTTTTGAATGCGTGGTTCGATTTTTATTTTTAAAAAGCATTCGACGCGGTTTTTTAAGCACAAAAAATATATAAATGGTTTTATTATGATTTTTTCGCACGCTTTAAAGTTATTTTTAAAAAACATAAAAATTCAAATTTTTTTTTAATTTCTTTATTGGAATGGCTCGATGGATTATTAACTCTCAAATCTAATCAGATCTAAGTTTTGATAAACCCTTTCGAATGACGTGTCGTAGAATTCAGTCGGTTGATTCGTTTTTGAGAAATCGTACGACAAAAATTTATTTACACACACACACACACACGCGCGCGCGCGCGGCCGGACATCTCGGCGGGAATAGTCAGAATGGCTTTTGTTCCTAGGACCTTAAAACGTGGAGATCCAATGAAAACTCGACTTTCGAAAATCGGGCCAAAATCAATAACTTCTCTTTATAGGAAAATTTTCAATTTTCTTAGCGGGAAGTTAAAAAATTTGCACTTGTAATTTTTTTTAAATTTTTTTATTTCAATTTAGTTGTTATAAAAATCCAAAAAATTAACAGATGTCTTCTAATTTCAGTATTATGATATTTCCTGAATAATAAACGTAGATTCAATTCATTTCCTCAACTTACTTATCAAAAATCCTTTTAGGGCCAGTTTTTCAATCCAAGATAAAATTTTATCCAGGATAAAATTATTATTGCCAGTATATCTATAAACATGAAATGTATAGATATATATATATTGGCATAAGATAAAATTTTATCTCTGATTGAAAAACTGGCCCTTAGTCTATTATGATAATTATTAATTTTTTTTTGTCATCAATTAAGCCAAATTGGGAGATAATTGTCTATTTGATGAGGATTGTGGGACTGTATGGCACGCAAAATGTTCGAGTGATAACAAATGTGTTTGTATGTTAAATCACATACAAAAAAATATAAATAATTGCGTGCCGTTATTAGGTGAATATTGTTTAAAAAATGGCGAGTGTGGGACGGAAAATTCTTTCTGTCTGAATAATGAATGCCGATGTAAGGATTCTTTTTATGAATATTCCAAAAAGCAATGCCTACCAAGTAAATAAAGTTGAATTCAAATTTATAAGGTTTAGTTAGATACGACTCTTTCTTTAAGGGTTTATTGAAATGTTTGTTTCTTTTACATTTTTATAGAAATTATTGGTAAAGAATGTCAGGAAGATACAGATTGTAGAGAAATAAAATTTGCGGAATGCTCAAAAAGAAAAGTTTGTGTCTGTGCCAAAAACACAGTAGCGCTATCTCCGGGATTGTGCTACCCATTATTAAATGAAGCTTGTCAAGTGGATGAAGATTGCAAGGTAGATTATTCTATTTGCATCGAAAATGTATGCAAATGCAAACCTAAACATTTTTCTTCTTCTATTGGAAATTGCACGCAAAGTAAGTTATTTTATTACCTATTAATAATAATTTATAATTATTGTCTTTTTTATTTGTAGTGTATCTAGGTATGCCTTGTAAATATGACTTACAATGTAGAATCTACATGGATAAAACGAAATGCTCCCCGGATAAAGTATGTACGTGTGAATATAATCACTTTCAAAGAAAAGATGGATTTTGTAAACCTGAATGGGAAAGATCATGTTTGAATGATGAACTATGTAATGATGAAAATTCTATTTGTGTTGATGATAAATGTCAATGTAAGCCACAATTTAAAGTTCAAGGATCAAAATGTATACCAGGTATAATATGAATTTATATGAAAGCTTATTTTAATAATAAATTTTGTGTATGACATACTATTATTTTCATTTATAGTAATTGGGATTAATTATTGTGATACTGATGCTGATTGTGATCAAATGTGGTTTTCAGTATGCTCAAGTGATAGAAAATGTATTTGTAGAGACGGATTTTTTGAAATCAAAAAAGGAACATGTGTACTTCAATTGAAAAAAGTTTGTAGAGTTAATAAACAATGCCGTATTCCTAATTCTATTTGCGATGATGGTCACTGTGAATGTGAACCTAAATTTTTAAATATCGCTGACAAACAATGTGTTCTAAGTAAGCTTAAAAAACATAGTTCTGAGATAAACGCGTTTAAAGTTTTTTTAATTAAAAAAAAAAATATCTTACCTAAAGTAAATTAGCGATGCCAGCTCCATACAAAATCCCTTCAGCCTTTTCAAAATTTTGATTTTCTTCTACTTAAGCATTGTAAAATAATATAGTTACAGACGTTCGATCATTTAGAACTTGAAACACAATACTTTAAAGTATTGTGTTTCAAGTTCTAAATGATCGAACGTCTGTAACTATATTATTTTACAATGCTTAAGTAGAAGAAAATCAAAATTTTGAAAAGGCTGAAGGGATTTTGTATGGAGCTGGCATCGCTAATTTACTTTAGGTAAGATATTTTTTTTTTTAATTAAAAAAACTTTAAACGCGTTTATCTCAGAACTATGTTTTTTAAGCTTACTTAGAACACATTGTTTGTCAGCGATATTTAAAAATTTAGGTTCACATTCACAGTGACCATCATCGCAAATAGAATTAGGAATACGGCATTGTTTATTAACTCTACAAACTTTTTTCAATTGAAGTACACATGTTCCTTTTTTGATTTCAAAAAATCCGTCTCTACAAATACATTTTCTATCACTTGAGCATACTGAAAACCACATTTGATCACAATCAGCATCAGTATCACAATAATTAATCCCAATTACTATAAATGAAAATAATAGTATGTCATACACAAAATTTATTATTAAAATAAGCTTTCATATAAATTCATATTATACCTGGTATACATTTTGATCCTTGAACTTTAAATTGTGGCTTACATTGACATTTATCATCAACACAAATAGAATTTTCATCATTACATAGTTCATCATTCAAACATGATCTTTCCCATTCAGGTTTACAAAATCCATCTTTTCTTTGAAAGTGATTATATTCACACGTACATACTTTATCCGGGGAGCATTTCGTTTTATCCATGTAGATTCTACATTGTAAGTCATATTTACAAGGCATACCTAGATACACTACAAATAAAAAAGACAATAATTATAAATTATTATTAATAGGTAATAAAATAACTTACTTTGCGTGCAATTTCCAATAGAAGAAGAAAAATGTTTAGGTTTGCATTTGCATACATTTTCGATGCAAATAGAATAATCTACCTTGCAATCTTCATCCACTTGACAAGCTTCATTTAATAATGGGTAGCACAATCCCGGAGATAGCGCTACTGTGTTTTTGGCACAGACACAAACTTTTCTTTTTGAGCATTCCGCAAATTTTATTTCTCTACAATCTGTATCTTCCTGACATTCTTTACCAATAATTTCTATAAAAATGTAAAAGAAACAAACATTTCAATAAACCCTTAAAGAAAGAGTCGTATCTAACTAAACCTTATAAATTTGAATTCAACTTTATTTACTTGGTAGGCATTGCTTTTTGGAATATTCATAAAAAGAATCCTTACATCGGCATTCATTATTCAGACAGAAAGAATTTTCCGTCCCACACTCGCCATTTTTTAAACAATATTCACCTAATAACGGCACGCAATTATTTATATTTTTTTGTATGTGATTTAACATACAAACACATTTGTTATCACTCGAACATTTTGCGTGCCATACAGTCCCACAATCCTCATCAAATAGACAATTATCTCCCAATTTGGCTTAATTGATGACAAAAAAAAA